GTGTGCTTGATGAATTTGATTAATCAAATTTGATTCGTTTGATCGAATTTGATTAATGCGATCTTGTAGTATATCCATAACACAAATACTTAAAGTACTTAAAGTACTTTAATACTTTAATATTTAAAGTAGTTAGTAGTTAATGGATTGACATTGTAGTCATATGTGAAACATGTCTTTATTTTGCAGTTCTAACCAGTGATTCAAAATTTCCAATTAGAAGAGGATTACCACAGCTCAATGTTTTATGAATCTAGTGTTTTAAATTAGAAACAGCTGGAATTCTTGGATTAATTAGCTAATAGAAACCATTTTAAGTATACTGTACTTCCATTTCGGTCAAGAACTACAAGGACTTTTGTTTTCCATTCTTGTTGAGCTTTCCATTACGTACCTAAAGTGGTTATTGATTATTTATAACTTTTCAAAATTTAGAAATACATTTAGAAAATCAATATGGTCATTAGCGATTGGTTGAAATGGCAAAGATGTAAAGATCCAATTAACTTTGTGATAAAGATTTGCTGCACCCATCTTCTTCATTATCAGCTAACTTAGAGTTTCTCACACCTGGTAAGATCCTAGTCAAATTCTGCTCTAGTTTCTAATGCCATCATCTTTGGCAATGTCACCACGACAGTGTTCCAAACCTGAACCCATTTCCAATGTAAATAGTTAGCACTGTACTGGAAACAGCACTATGTTTTTGTCTGCACTTTGCTTGTCTAGGAGGTGATGTATTAAAGTAGTTTTTAGAATATTAGAATATTCAAATCAGGTACAAGATAAATAATACATCAGCAGAAGTAGATGAGACTCTGAAGATCCTTTGGTTTGGTGAGTCTATATTTACTACTAACTTTAGAGGTTCAGTGGTTGTATTTTGTTATTCAGATAAACAATAATCATGTATTTTATTGCTTGACATGCTACAACCCTCTGGTATTGCTTTCGGCATTCTATAAGCTAACTGACGTGCACATTCTAACCACATTTTCTTTATTTATTGAAATTACATTTAAAATTCAACATCTTAGTTTGGATTTTCACGATAGAAATCTCCAATATAACTGACAAACAGACCTATCATTTACTAAATCTGAGGTTTACTTCAATATTCCCCTCTGCTGTTGCAACAATTAACTGTTGTGTGTTTTTTT